GCAAGTCTGAAGCTGCTATTTAACTACTAGGTAAAGATTTGTGATGTTATCAGTTTGTTTCTTTTTTGGGAGAATGTTTCCGGTTTATGTCTTGTACTTTGAGTAACTGCCTTGAAGATAACGATATACAGTATAATAACTACTGTTAGTCTCTTATTTAGTTCTAAAATATTGTTTTTATGTTTCATAAAATAAAAAGATTAAAAGAACAATGTTTATATTTTAAAGATTCCTATTGTCTTTGCAGTTTTTTAAAAAATTTTTTGGTGGCACCAGGGATTGAACTCACAATCTCATGCTTGCCAGGCAGGCACTTATGCCGATGAGCTACATCCCTGGCCCTTTTTTTTTTAAATCTTTCTGCAATAGGGTCTCACTGTGTAGTCCAGGCTGGCCTTGAATTCATAGCTATTCTCCTGCTTTAGCCTCATAAATACTGGGATTACAGGCGTGTGGCACCACACCTACGTTACTGCGAATTATAGGCTATAATAATCTTTATTTTTTGCACCAGTAAGAGCACTTGCTTGATCAATTCCGGGGTAGAAAAACTGGGTTAAAGGTCAAATATGTATTGGTTAATTTTGGAAAATACTCAAGTTGCTTATCTATCCATAGAAGACCAGGTAGGGGGCCTGGGATTTAGCTCAGTGGGGCAGCACCTGCTTGGCAAGTGTGAGGTCTTGAGTTTGATTACTGGCACTCCAAAAAACAAAACTAAACAAAAGATAGAAGACCAGGTAGAGAAACTGTGGACATCATCCTGTTACAGTTTGGGCCTTGAGAGTCACCAAAAGCCCATATGTTGGAGGTTTGGCTCCCAGGCTGTGGCAATGTGGGGCGGTGGTAAAATCCTTGAGTTGGGGTGCAGTGGAAGTAAGTTAGGGGTGTGTCCTTGAAGGGACCCAGCCCCAGCCCCTTCCTGCCTCATTTTTCCTTCTGGGCTCCGTAATGTAAACAGGCCTTCTCCACTGCACATTTCCGGCTTCATGGGCTGCCTCTATGGTGTCTAAGTGTAGACCAAAACTCTGAAACATGAGCCCAAATAAACCTTTCCAACTTGCAAGTTGATTATGTCATTCATTTTGTCACAACAGAAAACTAACACGGTAGTCTAATCTTCTGTACTTTCCTCAGTTTGAACCTGTAACATTCACATAAGAAAGTCAGCCTTGGAGTTTACAAAAATACCAAAACTATCACGTGATCAGCCCAGGATCATGTGATCAACTTGACTGTTTTACAAATGTTAAAAATGAGGTCCAGTAGAGTCATCTGAAGCTGGCGTGGCCTGAACCCCCTCTCCGGGTGCCCTTTTTCCCTAACACTTCACCCTGCTTTTAGGGACTGGGGCAGGCACCAGGAGTCTGAGTGGGGAGAAGAAATGCATCCCACAGACCACACAGGCCTCTTCTGGATCGTAGGCTGCAGAGGCCGGGACAGTAGGGATTGTACAGTCAGTTGTCATGGGGTCAGGAAACACCACCGAAAGACTCGACAGCCACGGCACCTTTGCGGGTACGTCTGGACTCTAAATTCAGCCCCTAGACCCAAGCTCTGTGGCACCCCCTGAAGCTTTACCGCTGCTGCCTAGGCCCTAAGCAGCCAGCCACCCTCTCCCCACCGCTCCCAGCCCATGCCCAGCTGCTTTTGAAGCCTCAGTGAGAGCCTGTAGCCATCGTCCCTGCCCCCCGCTGACAGCACTGCTGGGCCATCTGGGGTGCAGGGGACAGACCAGAAGTGGCCAGCCTGCTGTACCCGATGAGAAGGGATGAGAGGCAGGGAGGTGATCAGAGGCAGGATGTGTGTGCTGAGCAGGCTCTGCTGCTAGAACGGTCCTGGAAACATGGGGGGCAGTGAGCTGGGCTTTGCAGCACCACGTGGGAAGGACCCCATGTCATGGAGTCGCCCAGAGTGGAGGCCATGCTATCTAGGAGTGCTTGACTAAACAGGGGAAAACTGGCTTCACAGAAAATCCACGAGCTTATAAGGCTTTGTCACCTATCACCAGCTGCTTTTGTGTTCTTAGGATTGAAATCCAGCAGTCTTAGTGCCGCTGTGGAGACCCCTCAACCCTGAGCCCACGGGCACTGCCCAAACCAAGTAAGAGAGGATCTCCAGGGAGGGCTCCTGGGACCTTGTGGACAGGAGCAGGCTTCTCTGCAGCAGAAGCAACCTTGAAGCCAGGACAAGGAGCTCTACCCAGAGACGTGGATGTCACCTCTGCACTCTGATGTGTCCTGCTGTAACCGCCCAGCTTGGCGGAAGGGCCAGATGAGGCCTGGATAGTCCGAGCACCCTGTCTGGATCAGCCATTTCCACTTCCACGGGTACACTGCACAGGCGATGTCGCTTTCAACCCTGAGCGTGCAGGACAGGGTCAGGTCGAGAGCACTGTCTTCAACAAGCTGCATGGCTCCCTGTCCCACAGCGATGGTCAGTCCCAGCTGCTGGGCAAGTGCTGCTATAGACACAGAGCACTCAGGCTTCCATGCTGTCCACTGTGGGTCACAGGACCCTGGCGATAAGAGGCACAGCTGTGGTGTCTCTGGAGCCATGGACTGCATCCTCCATGTGCCCTGATGGCACCCAGATATCTTCCCTGCCAGGCCTGGAGCTCTGCTGGTGGAGCAGAAAGCTAAGCCCCGTGGGAGGGTGCTTCTCTACAGGAAGGAGCTGACACACTTCTAGAAGGGGCAAGGGCTGAGCTGAGAGGGTTGCTGCCTGGTTGAAGTTGATGAAAAAAGCCAGGGAAGGACCAGGCTGGGGATGCAAGCCCATGGGGCCCTCAAGTCCCTGTGGGGCAGGCCCAGTCTCCCAGGTTACAGTGGGATGACAGGCCTGTGCCACCACACCTGGCTTGAGCTAGCAAGCAGTCCAGAAACTTGTAGCTGGAAAATGAGATCAGCAGCTCCAGCCGACATTTCCAGGGCTGCCCCACTCTCAGTGTCCCTTCATCCAGAGCACTTATGCCAAGCAAGGACAGCAATGAGGGAAGAGCCATTCCTGTCGGCTGTGACGCCTCGGAGGTGGGACTGGCATGATCTCTACGGAGGTGCAGTGAGCCACCCGACCTAGGAGTGCGTGCTAGGGCTCAGACACATGCACAGGATGGACCGGGTGGGAAGTCCAGGACTCTGCTGCTGCCCCCTGCTCATGGCATGACCCCTGCCGACTGGGATCCAAGGTCACCCACACCACTGTGCTGCCTCTGCCCAAGCCATTCTCAGTTCATGCGTGGGGTTGCTCATTGACATAGCTGTGGCAAAAGCAGGCTGTTTATTAAGTGGAAACAGCAAATATACAACACACCATGTGCACACATACCCGTGTGCATGCTGCACATATTTCCTTGAATATGCTGAAAACCTGAGCAGGAAGAAAGAAGCATATAAAAATGGTAATAGTGAGCCCTTTAGGGATTGTGGGAGGATCTAGTCCCAGAGAGGGGGCTAAGAAGAGTCATAAAGAAACCATGTTCTAGCTTTTAACTTTCGAACCATCAGATTATATATATCCACGAAAGTTAAATTAATGATCTGAATCTATACCCATAAAGTTAAGAATGTGGGGTTGGGGATGATACAGCACATGCTTAGCATGCTTGAAACCCTGAGTTCAGTTCTAGTACCAAAAAATAAACCAAAACAGCCAGGCTTAGTGGCCTACCCCTGTCATCCCAGCACTCGGACAGCTGAGGCCATTCGAGGCCAGACTGAGCTAAACAGCAAGAAGACTCTGTCTCAAAACCACTTTTTAATTTAAAAATTTGAAAAATAAACCAACACAAAATGAAGCAGAAAGCTCATTCCTGTTCGATGTGGCCATCAGCAGCTGACCATCCTCATGAGATTACACAACACATGCAGTTTACAACTTGCTCCTTTAGCATTTAATATTAATTGTTTTCATTTAACATTTTATGTCAGAATGTTTTCTCATTCATTTTAATATTTTACTTTTTTTTTTTTTAAACATATCCCTTAATTTTTTAAAAGAAACCTCTAATGGTGGATACCAGGAATGTCTATTCTCTCTGCTGCTCTAAGTAATACTATAGTATGAATTCCTATGTAGGATTTATTTTTTTCTAACCAAAAAAAAAAAAATTTCTTAATTAGGATATGAACTGGACATGGTGACACACCCATAAACCAAACACTCAGGAGGCTGAGGCAGTAGGATCACTAAAAGTTCCAGGCCAACCTCAACTACTCAATGAGCCCCTCTCTCAAAAAAAAAAAAAAATACAAATATCAAAGGCAGGTCTGGTGGCTCACCTGTAATCCCACCACTCAGGAGGCTGGGGCAGGAGGATCACTGCACATTTAAGACTATCCTGGGCTACAAAGTGAGCTCAAGACCAGCCTGAACCGTGTAGTGAGACCCTGTCTCAAAAAGCCAAAAACAAACAAACAAAACCAACAAAACCACAACAAAAAACTACAGTAATTTTTATGAGTAAATTAATTGAGTAGCTCTATGCCCCTGGGCAAAGTTTCTTTACTTCATTGTTTGTTTGATTTCCCAAAAGAGGAAGCTAATGATATATTTAAAAATGAAAAACAAAAGACTCTAATGATAGCTTCACAGACAGATTTAAGACTCCAATAGTTAACTTGAGAAAGAATACATGTAAAAACTTAATTGAGGCCATTTTGTTAGTTCTCAGTTTAAGAAACCCCAGGGGGGGGGGAAACCCACAAAAAAACGAAGCCAGAGGCTCTTAGAATTGATTTATGTAGTACAGTTCTCTAAAATGTTAAAAGAAAAGGTAAGCAACACTTTTCCTTTCTTTCTTCCTTCCTTTTTCTTTCTTTTTTTGCATTGTCTACACGCTGATTTGATCTCCTCCCTTATGAACAAACACACTTGAGTGTGCTCAGCAGTCACCCAGTGACTCACACTCTCTCGCCTGGCAGTTCCCCAGACTCATGCACGGCTCCCCGAGGCACCCGCTGCCCGGCCAGGTCCAAGGCTCCCACTTTCCACCTGCCACTGCTGAGGTCAGCCTGCTGTTTCGCTGCAGGAGGTTTTGTCATCGTGTGCCCACAGAGAGCAAACTGTAGACCAGGACACTGTGTCATCATTCTTCACGGATTTATTTCTAATTTACTTTAGGCTCAAGTATATGGGCACAAAACATTGCCCAGTTACTGAAACAAATCTTTTTTGGACAATAGGAAAAACAAATCAAAAGTAATATACAAGGAGAAGGAGACCAGCCCTAAAGCAGACCTATCAAGTTATTATTTCCAACAGCAACACAGGGTAAGAAATTTACATTTGTTCCAATGAGGAAAATGGTTATATGCACCGATGCCAGAAATTACTATGTAAAAATCGGAAAGACTGAGGCAGATTTATGTGTTCCTAGTAGAAAAATTGGCAAGTCTTTTAGACTAAGAGAGATAAAGGAAGCATGCCACGGTATGACAGTCCTTTTAACAACATAGCGATACATATAAAAGTTCTGCGAGGGAGTCACACACTGGAGGGTAGGAAAGCACTCTGACCTTAGAAGCAGGATGGTAAAAGAGACTTCTAGATTTGCCTTGCAGACTGTTCCAGGGCTTGTCTATGTAGGCGCATCTTGTGTTTTTAGCACACTTTCAAATGCAGGGGAAGCTCAGCTCTGTTGCATTGAAATAGGATGCTTTCAATGTCAACACATTCCACTCTTCTAAAAATAAATTTGGTAATTCAAAATTCATCCTTAGTCAGAGCGGCTAGTCCATTTGGGGCTCAGTGGTTTCCCCAAGAAAACAGTGAATAAACACAGCAGGATACAAATGTGTCTAGAGGGGTGAACGTTTACACTAGATCTGCCTTTTCAGCTTTCCAAAATGTGGACCTTACCAATTTCTTTGACCTCTCTCTTTTTTCCCATTCCAATGCATGGCGGTGACAAGGCATTGAATTACCAGTTTGTCACTAACGCCATAGGCTTTATTCTTCCTTTGAACAGAAGCTGGGCTTAGAAAGAAAAGTTTTTCTTAATAAGTAGCTGTTCATCCTTTGATATGCACATCTGGATCCACGGTCTTATCTGCAGCATGCTAATGCTGCTTCCTGCAGATAATGATAAAAGAACAACTCAAAATAACAAAAAAGGAATAAAATGTGCCAGATGCCTAAGACATGAGGAAGACAATGCAAATAAAAGCAACTGGTTTTACTATTCTCGGGAATAAACTCTATCAACAATCGAAGTAATCATTTAGTGGTCAATGGATGCAAGAATTCTTTTAAAAGGGATTAGGAAGGGGGAAAAAACAAGCAAACATCAGCTGACAGCCGCTGCCACGTCCTGTTGGAAATTAAGAGGGAAATAAACCTAAGTGTGCTATAAATCACTTCAGGGCTTAATTTTGCTCTGCTCTGCTCCCTTGTTTCTTCTTCTTTTTCTTTAATTTCCTTTTTCTTTATTTGATTTAAACATGGTAAATTCATGGCCAAACCAAAGTTTTTAGGACTCAAACTATTTTAAATATACAAAAAAGTCATAGTAAAAAAGAACAAAACCATCAGGATTGAGCTACTTTTTTACTTTCTCTCCATTTTCCTTTTTAAAGATTAAACGATCTTCTAAATGGGATCTTGCTCAATTTCTACATCATCTTTGTTCATTGAAAGAAAGTATTCTTACAAAAATATTATGATTTTCTCAGTTTTAGGAATCTTCAAAGGCGCTTTCTTCTCCCCCACACTGTAAATGGGCCTGGCGTTTTCCCAGTTAGGTTAGTGTAAAGGATGAAAGAGCGGAATTGGCATATATGATGTACAGATATGACTCCTAGATATTCTGTATGATTTCCGTCTAGGTTATGTTTGTTCTCTTCAAAAGAAGCAACAGGTCAACTTACTTTGTAAACACATGCGGGGGACATCAGCCCTTCTGGGGCCTTCTGGGGGTGATTGTAACTGATATGTTAATAGACAGGCAAATAAAACTTCTGCTTCCCATAAATTGCTGGGTAAACTGGAAGCTGAGGGTTGTTGGGGGAGGGGAAATCCCGCCAGTGGGTTCCATATCTGCGGCCCAATCCCAGAGCAGAGCAGAGCAGGGTTTGGCTGCTCTCTTGCCTAAGCAGATAACATTCATGCATTGATTCCGCATTAGCATGCAGCAGGCATGGGAAAATGATAAACTCCTGTTACCACTGTCATGGCAACTGAAAAAATGGCTGCTTTGGGGGGAACGAGGGCCACAGGAGAAGAAAAGCAAAGCCCTGTTTCTTTCTTCTGTGTGACATCTGTTGTTTAACATACAAAATTGTATTATCATGACGCAAGTGAGGTGGCTGAAGCCTGCCTAGGAATTAAGCCTGCACGGGCCGGCTCCTTGCGCCCCTCTCTCTGCCTAGGAGTATGTGATCCACTCTGACGCTTTCCTTTTCATCCCAGGGACAAGGAGTGGGAAGCGCTTGGGAAGGGTCCCACGGGGGACAGGTTATTAATCACAAAGTGAAAAGAAAAACCCTTCAACTTTTGTTGTTACTTTCTTAAACTATCCATTCTTTTTCCTCCTCCTCAACCTTCAGACACATTTTATTTGATTTAGTTTTTAATGTGAACTTGAGCAGGGCTTGTGAACACAGTCCAAACAGGAGCGGAGAGAACCTGAGTACAGTTTGCAAACACAGGCACAGGCTGAGGGTTTAAAATGTTCCTGCAGATCATTTTAAGAGGAAAAGGCGGCAGGGTGTTCTCAGGCTCACTGATGTGAGCTTTCACATGTGAGTGGAAGAGATGCAGTTTTTATTGCCCCGTTTCCCAAATTTTTATAAAGTGCTTAACATCAAGGAGTCACATAAACATTGTGCTTTTATAAAAACATGACGCTGGGTCTGGAACCCAGGGCCTTCTGCATGCTAGGCAAGAGCTCTCCACAGCCTCCCTCCTGTGCCCGGTACAGCCCCACATTAAGTGTTTGGAATGCGGCTACACGAATAGATCCACAGGAGGATTTCAGTACCAACACACAAACACTGTATATTATCCAAACATCATCTTGAAGCAGAGCCTTAGCGAATTAGTTTTTTAATAAGAAAAGTTAGACGAGGTGCCTTTTGAATATATTTTACTCTCCCCCTCCTCACAGTAGTATGATCAGAACAAGACCTATAAGATTTGGGGTTGTTTTCACCAGGAAGCCTCAAAACAATGTTCAAGATTGGGACCATCTTCAAAAGGAGGCAGCTGAAATTTCCAGTAAGACTGAGATTAAGCCCTTTGATAAGAGAAAGATTAGATAAGTGCAAACAAAAGAAACCCCATTTCTATAATTTACAGGGATCATTAGCATTTTAAGGCAGGGAACCTTTGGACCATGCCTGCATGCATTTAACAACGTGTTCCAGCCTCAGTTTAATAATAACCACTCATAACAAAAGAGCAGGGTTGGTGGGGGGAGCAGAAGCCAAAGAAATGGGATATAGCTTGGCAGTCCAGCACCTGCATGGCAAGCACAAGGTTCTGAATTCAATTCTCAGTACAAAAAAAAAGTCAAAGAAACTGAAAGGGTCAGAACTGCTCTGTCTATTTTTCCAATTGTTGGAGTAAAGTTACAGTATTGCACCTGGTAAGCCTATCAACTAAATATGCAGATGATGCGTATGGTAACTGCAGGACCCTTGGACAGACTTAGAACCTTGGAAGAGGAATTCGCTTGGGGGAATGCAGGGAGGTCAACCTTGTTTTTAACCCTTGGGACAGCTCTCTCAGGGGAGTATTATTTGCAGAATCATAAGGGAGTGGAAGTGGCTATATTCCAGAATCAGATTATTTTTGTTTGTTTTCAGCCCTCAGTTCCATCAGCATAGTCTTTGTCAAGAGGTGAGAGTTTTACATTTGCAATTCTAGATTGTTCACTTACCTGGGCTTCCGGCTGGCTGCCCTCTGCTGTTTTTTTACATACTTTGCTGCACATCAGATGAGTGGAGCCCTAGAAGCAGTCTGGGGTACCTCCTGGGGGGGAGGGGAGGAGCCCTGCTCTCTTTACAGTTTACATTTTGAAAGGCAGAACTTTGTGTGGGGAGAAAGTTCCCCCTGAGGCTAGTTTTCCGGGTTCAAATCCTTACCTTCTTCCCCCACCCTGTAAGCCCCATCCCATCATTGGCTGGGCCTCAGAACATCTTCCCCATAATCTAATAAAACTCAGCCATGCACTGCAATCAACAGCTGAGGTTTTTCGTTTTGTTTTTCTGAGGATTTGCTTTCGATTTGTAGGCTCTGATAATCTAGAAATCAGACCAATGGAAAAAGTGCTCATTTGCTTCTCAAAGACCAGAAAGAACTTTAAACACAAGAAATAGGTGTGAATTTCATTTTTTTTTTGAGGGTAAAACTTAAGACCTTGTGCCTGCCAGGTAGCTATAGGCTGAGCTATGTCCCTGGCACTTAGGTGTAAATTTAAAATGATGAGAAAAAGATAATAAAATAAAGTGATAAGAACCACAAATACACAGAACACACTGCGGATCTGATTACTAGTGAAGTTAGAGCTCTGTGACTGGCATGAGAACCCTTCCCGGTAGATCCTCGGCCTTTCCAGGGCATGGAGGAGCTGCTGTCACCAACCCGCGTGTTTCTTCTCCCCACCAGGAATCGGCCCCCGGAGGACAGGAGCTTCTCTACCCTCACCTCAGCCACGTCCAAAGTGCCAAGGGCAGAGCCTGCCTGTCGCACCATGTACAGAATCCCTGCTGGGTGTAAGTGTGAGGGAGCGAATGTTCAGCACACACCTGGAATGGATTGCTCACAAGAGGTCCTTTCAGCCAGCAAGCACGCGGTCTTCAAGCCGACCTGCTTATGTCACAGGTGCTGGTCAGAAGAGGTGCCTAGCTGAGGTCAGCACTCCTCAGTCTCTTATCATGCTCAGCTCGGTGACACCGAGGGTGCGTGTGTGCGTGTGTTGTGCTGGAGAAAGAATGTCTGGTATGAGTTCACGTTCTCTAAAATTGAAGAATGAATTTTGGGAACAATGGAGGTTAAGTGTAGAATATATTTACTGGGGGAAAGAAAGCTTCTGTCTGAGAGCGACAGAAGGGGTCCTGGGAGCGGTCCTTGCCAAAGACTCTGTCTTTTCTAGGGAT